TATCCTGGTACTTTAAGACAGAGCTTGCTAGGATTGCCAGTCTCTTGGCTTCACTACATGCTCTTACTTAATTCAAAGGGAGTTTTGGCTCCAGGTTTCTGTAAGGCATTGAGAGACCTCCCATATCCAGCTGTTTCCCAGCTCCTGGGATTGTCCCTCAGATAGTCAGGATTCAGTTTCTGGGACCACCACTGCCTAAGTAGATGACTTTGGATCTTAAACTCAATTGTCCTCTGTCAACAACCTTAAAGAGAAAAAAGATTTGATGCCACAAAAGCAGTCTCAGTAATGATTCAGAACATTTTTTGAAAGCTCCCTTTTTACCAGTATGTTCCCTTTTCCTTTCTGTATCCTCTCTTGACATATAGAGTGGGGACCAGGACTAATGTCTGTCAGATTCCCCCAGAATGCTCCTCAGGGAATGATATTCTTCCTCCATTCACTCCCCTTCCTCACAAATACACCTTACAGCTCTCCCAGGCACCAGAGGAAACAAGGGGCCCTTGCAGACTACCTGCCTCCACAGATGTCTTATTTTGGATTTCACTGGCCTTTGGTAGGGCAACTCGTTTTCTATTGTCTCTTGGTTGCATTCTCCCAGGGATATATTTTTATATTCTGAATTTTAAAAGTTTCCAGGGAAGAATTTTTTTCTCTCTCGAGTATTTGTTTGAAGTGCTCAGATTTAGCAGTTACAATTACAAAACAGTAGTAGCCTATATGTGAGGAAATACTTTTCTGGGCTGGAAGGATATTTCCACTTTGATTGTTACTGTCAAAGGGGATTTCACAGCTATCCATATTACATCTCACCCATGCAGCTGACATCAAGCAACCTTTGCTGCTTGAGCAAAAGGAGACTCGGGGAGGTACATTATTCAATTTTGTACAGAGAAGGAACAGAAAATTTATTTTCAGTAGCAGTGTAGAGCTCCACATCTGTATTTAAAATAAACACTGGAACGTGGCGTTAATGAGTTATTGTTATTTCCTAAAGGCACAGCTTAAACGTTTGGTTCTCAGAAAGTCAGAAATCTCAAAACAGCCGTGTCCCATTAACACGACACATCAAACATCACGGGCTGAATTTTGTTCAGCCGAAGGCTGAGGATTTGCATCACTGACAACAGCCACACATATGGTCACATACAGTCAGGAAATGAATAACTCTGCTTGAACCAAAGTGAGCAAGGGTACAATAAAAACATATCCTGCAAAGGGATCTGGGAAGGGAAATGGGAGGAAAGCTGAGCTCACATGAGAATAACAAAGCCTGTCTCACTCTAGACCCCACTCCTCTGCAAAACACAGCACAGGAAAGGGCCCGAAGCTCAAAATATTACCAGGGAAATATTTCCACACCAGTAACTCAGTTTGTATGACATCTGTACCCAGGGTGCCAAGAGGGCACTGAAAGGTCCTCCTTGTTCTGAGAAGCCTGATTTCTGAGCAGAGCCCAGTCCTGGAGTGCAGGATGCTGATGAATATGTTTGGCTTGTCACTGATGAATAGGTTTTGCTTGTCAGTCACCCAAATTGCAATGGTAACAAAGAGGTCAAGACTGCTTGCTCTATATCTGCTTGTGAAGTAAGAAACTGCATATTTTATTTGGCTAAGTCAAGCACAGTTTTAGTATTTGTTTCCGTAACCACAGATGGATTTTGGAAGCAGTTAAACAACAATCATGCACAGACAGTCTGGGAGACACTACAAGAGCATGCACTCTCTTGGTATTTCTGATATACCCAAAGAGAAACAAACACAGGAAAAAAAAAAGGTGTAAGTCCTTTATTACACACTATAATGCAGTAAGAAGCATAATTTCTGGTTTGGTTTGGTTTGGTTTGGTTTGGTTTGGTTTGGTTTGGTTTGGTTTGGTTTGGTGTGCATCGTGTTTGAGTCACTTTGCCTTCAGTGACTTCAATCTGTCACCTCAGGCAGAAAGAAACGCTGTTGACCTGCCTAGAAAGTGTGCCTCCAGAAAGAAAGTCGTACCAGTCAGTCACTAAGGGGTTAAAAAGAAAATTTTTATCTACCCTTGCTTAAAAATTAAACAGCTTTGCATCGTGACACTTTGGTGACTTTGGCTGTTTCATTGACATAGAATATCTAGTGATAACATAAGCTTGCCCCACCTGTTTGCAGGGTTGGTGTTGTATGGACATATGCTTTGTTGATATCTTTGGCCACCTATTTTCTTGCATTTTCTGCTTAGTATTTTATTGATTGTTTGCATAATCAGCATATCCATTCATACAGTAATTAAAATCAGAAGTATTTAATTGTGTGGATATCTGCACTGAGTTGTGACACCTAACCTAGTCAGTGCACATGAACATCTTTTATTCATAAATTCTGTGACCTGGAAGCAGAATTCTTTTGAAATAATCAGTCATCACTGATGAGAACTAAATCAAATGACAATTAAATGAAATTAAAAAAAAATTGTTTCTTCTCTCAGACTGCCATTAAATGGCAAAAACTTCAGTGTGTTTGGCAGAGTACTCCACTTCCTCGTCTGAATATTTGTATGAAGTGAAAGGTACATTTTGTCTTAATATAGCTATAACTATCTATATTTATCTATAAATAAATACCTTCTGATCTCACCTTCATCCAGAAGTAAATGAGAGCAAAGCTAAACTTGCATCTTCAGAGGAAGGTAGATGAATGCTGGAAACATGCAGACAAAAGAGATGCTTGGGCCACTTGGGCTAGTGGTGTTATTTGCAGCACCAATTCAAAAGGCTCTGAAATAAATAACCACATACTTGGCCTTGATGCACGTCACACCTTTGGATCCTGTGACAAAAATAAGAAGTTGCTTGAACTGATCTGAGAATTTCAGTTTGCACTTGAATTTCAGTAAAGCAAATGCTGTAAACTGTACTTTCTTTAGGTTATCACAATTTCTTTGTTGGCAGCTGAGGCAGGTTTGTTCCTTAGATGTAGATGAGATGTGCACTTGTATATTTTTGTTAAAGAAATCAGATGTCAGAGTAGAATTAAGTGCGTGAAGACTGCTGACAGTAAAAGACAAATGTAGGCAAGATACAGTGCACACTGCAGCAAAACCAGGTTGGGCATATTAAAAGCTTTTTATTGTAACTGTTCAAGAAGAAATCCTCAAAATTATTTTCAAGAAACTAAGCCTCACAGCCTAAATTAATGGCTCACACTATTCCAGCTTTCTTTGGGACCCTAGATAACTATGTTAAATGAACATTTTTTTTCATAAGGGAGTTGCCCTTTTTTGTGTGTCACCACACTTGTTGGGTGATCCTATCTGCTGATTCTAACTGCCTTCCCAAGGGATGCATATCTCTGGCTGCCAGCCACCATGAGGACATTGTGTTTTTCAGCTTGGAGCTTTTCTTGCAGAATCTGGAAAGAAGGGAACCAGTCTGAGCCATGAAACATCTTTGTGCTGCCACTCAGGGTCACACTGCAACAGAGACTCTCTGCTGACTCCACACAGCCCCTGTCTTCCCAAAGAGTGCCTGGGGGCTGCACAGCTACCCCTGAGCTGCACACAGGGAGGACTCCTGGGTCAGCTGGAGCTCCAGCCTCCCCTAGCCCAAATGCTGTTTGCAGCTCCCAAGGTGGCCGTGACCAAAGTCATGCATGCAGGAGGGAGCAGTCTCTCAGAGCATCTCCCTGCTGTGGGCAAGAGTGCCTGCAGCACTTCCCACACTCTGGAAGGTGCAGCAGACAGTGGCTGTCTGATCTAGCCTCTCTGACCTTGCAATGATGCGGATATGGAGCACTCACATGGCCATGCCAGTGGCAAAGAGGTTTAAAGTCTGCTCCCAACTGTTTCCCATAGGGTGTTTATTTCCTCCCAGCTGACAGGCATGAACAACTGTACAAACACTCCTTGCACCTGCGAGGACAAAAT